GACCTTTAAGAAACCTTAATATACCCTTCTTGAAAAACCCCATGCTGTAGTCTCGTGAGAAAACCTCGGCAGGAAGTTCATTCCACAATGTAAGTGTACGCGGGAGGAAGCTCCTCTGAAACCGCACTGTTCGGGACCACTTAGGTTCCAGCGTGTGGGGATGAATTCCCTGTCGATGGCGAGCGGTGCGATGGTAAAAGCTGTAGACATCATGTCGAACAATTCCTCGGAACACATTGTATATTTGGTAGAACACATAAAACGAAGTCTCGGCTCAAGTTCGGCGGCAGCGGTTCATTAACATAACATAGCGCCATCTAGTCCCAAGTTAAGCAGAGCTTGTGTTATGGGCACTAGACAACTGATTAAAATACCATCATCTGCTTCTTCCTTATATCATTCTTTTGTGGTCGGCGTAATATGTTTTTCTCTTCCATTAATCTCTGTTCGCAGTCATCTCGTTATTTACTCCCTTTCTTATTACATCATCTTTCACACAGACCATCCATCTCGTTTTTGGCCTTCCTTTGCCTTTATAACCATCCACAATTATATGTAATACTGATACAAATACATACAAAAACATAATATGTGTATATATACTATATATATATATATGTTTGGTGCAGAAATATTGCAAACTTTTGCAAGTATTTCTAATATGACAATATTATCTGATTGTACAAAGAATGAGTGCGTAGTAATTTCTATGTTGATTATCGATCGCCTCTTACTGGTTTTTATGTATTTAATTATTTAAAAGATCAATACATAAGTTTCTTGCTCATTCTTCTTGTAAAGAGTCTACGTTCCGAGTGAGTGGTAGAATAAATAATGACTTTTTTTTATAACATAGGAGACGAACGAGCATGCAGTTCACCTGATGGTAAGTGACTATTCAAAAGTGCTTATATTGTGATTGAGTTTAATTTTACAAATATGATATCTATTTCTATAATATAAGTCACATTTTCAACGATCAATATCTCAATAATATTATAAATGCGAAAGTTTGTAAGTATGGACGTTTGTTAATCTTTCACGCAAAAACTACTGAACGGATTCAATTCAAATTCAAAATATCTTTATTCAGTAGGTCTATTACAGACTCTTATAATATGTCAAATCTACCGTCAGTTCGGAATGATTTCGAGATGAGAAGAACTGACGAGAAACTCAGCTCGTATTCTTTTCAAATAAATGTTGTACATGTTTACAATAATACAGATTCATTTTTAAATTCAAATTTGGGAGAATAGAGTGACCACCAGCATATGCTACTGCAAAAAACAAACAAGATTTGGATGAAACTTTACAGTAATATAGCTTATGCATCAGAACAACACATAGTCTATATTTTATATTGAAATTTAATGTGGATGAAACCGCGGGCACAGCTAGTAGCCTATAATCCAGAAGGTCAACGCCGGAAACATCTGTCTATAGGATGTTTGTCTTCTTTTTTCTTACACACCCTGTATTCAACATCAAATATGATCCTGTACAGTTGATTGGATAGCAATGTGCCGTCAAATTGAATGAATCCCTCTAGTTAGACGGCCAGGTGCGCCCGCGCAGCTCTGATATCCAAAACATCCATTGTCCAGCCATCCATTGTGTTGAGTGGACGTATGCTTTGTTATAACTTTGTAGATCGCTTATAATAATAACTAGCTACTCGCCCCGTCTTCACACGGGTGTACATGTATTATATATATAAACCTTCCTCTTGAATCACTCTATCTATTAAAATAAACCGCTTCAAAATTCGTTGCGTATTTTTAAAGATTTAAGCATACATAGGGACGGACAGACAGCGACAGCGACTTTATTTTATATTATACATTATTTATATAAGTATACTCACGCCACCATGCTCCCCCCGGTGCAGGCCTGCTCCAACTCCTCAATGAGCGCACGCTTCTCCGGAGTCAGGTCCTCGGGACGTACCACATCAATTTTATTCAGGACCACAATGAGGGGCTTGTTGATGAACAGTGGTTTTATATATATATTATTTTGTTAAATAATTAATTTGTTTATATAAGTAACTAGCTACTCGCCCCGGCGTCGCCCGGGTGTACATGTATTATATATATAAACCTTCCTCTTGAATCACTCTATCTATTAAAATAAACCGCTTCAAAATTCGTTGCGTATTTTTAAAGATTTAAGCATACATAGGGACGGACAGACAGCGACCGCGATTTTGTTTTATACTATGTAATGATTATATATTCCTTCGCAACAGGTCCAACTGATCTGGCGCGACATTCCCGCCCACCGGCCCGCACCGCATCTCGTTTCTGCAAATTCACGACTTACGACACGCGCCGACTGCGTTGTTAATCCGCGAAATGGTAATGAGGTTCGATGACCGACCATTTTATATTAACCCTGGATGAATCCATACCAAACTAAGCAAAGCTTGTACAATAACTGATGGAATTACTTAAATATTTCTTTTTGAAATAACCGAAATCAATACGAATGTTTATATCGTTCGAGAATCGAACCAGGGACCATCAGAAGTAAAGCGGAGGATCTCAGGGACCATCACTTTATGAGGCTGAGTCTTAATAGAATAGGATAGAATAGAAAGCACTTTTGAATAGTCATAGTTACTTTTTTTAATCTACCGCTTATTCGGAAAGCTGTCACATCACAAGAAGAACGAGCAAGAAACTTGTGTGTTGCTCTTTTAAATAATCCTTGTAACTTTACACTTTGTAAGTTAAAATGTGTGAATACAAACTATCAACTAGCATTAATTTATTGTAGTCAGAATATTAAACCTATACCTATATATAAATTGGAGTGTCTGTTTGTAATATTGAAATAACCGTTTTTTACTACATACATATGAATATAAATACGGTACATACACCAAAATAACATTTTTTACAATCTTTGTCTGTCTGTCTGTTTGTTCCGGCTAATCTCTGAAATGGTTGGACCGATTTTGACGGCACTTTTTTTGGCAGGTAGCTGATGTAATAAGGAGTAACTTAGGCTACTGTTATTTTAGAAAAATAAATTAAATTCCACGCGGACGAAGTCACGGGAATAGCTAGTATACAATAAGAAGTACTAATGTAAAGTGATAATTTTTTTTAATTCTAATCCTTTTCTTTGAGTACAAATAATGTTTTATTTTAGGACGTTCAAAAAAAAACTAGAAATTGTTCTGTAAACAAGTGTTTCTTTTAAATGTGTTTATTTAATATTACACCATCTTTTGGTTGCAGCTAACATTTTGATAAAATCAGTTTGTTTTTATTGCGTAAACGGTTATTAGTGCAATCGCTACCTTTTTTAAAACTTAGGTACGTAACGTAATCTTTTTAAATTATAAACAAAAGATCAAATATCACCCACATACTATATACATATATATGTGTATAAAGGAATACTTGCTTAGCATCCCTTTACGGTTTGCTTTTAGGCTCGTTATTGTGAGTCAATTGCTCTCTCATCGACTTCCAATAGATGGCACTAATTGTTAAAGATGAGTAGAAGTATGGTGGATTGTAAAACTGGGATTGTGAGTGACAGTCATTGAAAGTAACAGTGTTTTGGTGAAAAGGATCGACAAATAAACATTAAATGTCGTTTCTTTGTTCTACAGGTAATGTTTGTTGCATTGCGGTGACTCTTTAATGATTTGTAGTTTGTTTGTATATAAAATTGTAAAAGTTTCAATAAAATTTCTTTGTTCTACAGAGCAACGCATGGTTTAATTTGTCGAGAGAACTAATATACAATAGATAATTGACTTATATGTATATATAATAGTAATGTGGACTGATGAACTTATTGCTAGCAATGTACCACGTCAGGTCGACATCCACGCGGTACCCCTGGAAACCATCGTGACATACGTGACGGTAGAGAAAAAAATATAATGTAAAAACTTGACGTACATAAGCGGCTGAAGTGTCCTACATGAATAAATGATTTTTGAATTTGAATTTGAATTTGAATATATTCTTAGTGAATTTGTCACCATGTGCTAACTGACCTGACCTCATGCTCATCTTATCATGCTCCACTGGTGCCCCGCCAGCGTATACCGTTAGCGCAGGCGGGTGCACCATTCCATTGTCATCCATTAAAATATAGGTACATAGGTGGTAAAAGGTGATTGGTAGTAATGTGAATTGATTATCTTATCGCTAGCAATGTACCATATCAGGTTGCCCTCCACGCGGTTCCGTCTGGAAACCATCGTGATAAATTCTTGGTGAATTTGTCACGATGTACTAACTGATCTCTGAAAACCATAATGTTAAATTCCTTGTGAATCGCTATGTGCTAACTGACCTGACCTCATGTTCTTATCATCCTCCACTGGTGCCCCGCCAGCGTAAACCGTTAGCGCAGGCGGGTGCGTCATTCTATAGTCATCCATAAAAAAAAGCTACATATTTGCACATAAAACATTTCATTATTTAAAGAACAATATAAAAGCCCAGGGCTGTGCAAACTTCGAGCAAACTCGTTAATTGGTTGCCACAACACACTCGTGGGCGGTGTTTGTAGTAGCACACTTAACTGTGAAATTAAGATCATCACTCGTTGCGTAGTTTAACGCCCGAAATTAATAACGTATCCACAATCCAAGATCGCTACCAATCTTAGATTGATCCCTATCTCCAGATCGATCTCCAATCTGCGTCCCAAAATGACAACTCTATTTTTTTTGACACTCGATAGGCATCGATCCTTGGATCGACCGTTCCCTCCCGCCGTTCTGTGTTACGCAAAATGTATGCCGCTACTCACATTTCTGTATTTAGAATTTCGAAGTATATAATTTGATATTAATATACAATGTAATGTTAATATATTACATATAATAAAATACTGTGTTTATTATTTGTTATGTTAATTACAAAATTTCAATTCACCATTTTTGTGTTTAATCATTTATTGGTTCGTGTGAAACGTATCGTGATTTATACTTTGACTACGATTGATATTTGACAGCAGTGCAAACTATTTCCAGTTACAGTCTGTTACAGTACCGACTCTCAATATTTAATTGTTATTATTTTTGATTTTCTGAATTAAATTAACATGGATACAGTAATGGTAAGTCAAATCGTTTTTATTTTACGTATTGTAACTAAATTGATGCGTGCGCACATGTAATGCTGCGTAGCGTGAGTTTTTTTAATGACGCTTACAATTTCCCGCTAATTTTGTAAAAACAAACTAACATGAATTTAACAATTATAGGCGAAGGGCAAACCATTATCTAAAGATGAAACTAAGGCTTTGCTGCAACTTATTGAAAATAGTCGCATTATAACTACTAAATGTACCAACACCACCAACAACAAATTAAAAATAGAGGAGTGGACCAAAATAACGGAACAATTCAACGCAACGGCTACAACTTGTCGCAGAACGCCTCAGCAGCTTAGGTTGAAATGGGAAAACCTTAAAAAAAACTCCCGTAAACGAGCAACGAAAATAAGAATGAACAACATACAGGTACATACTATGTTTTCTAATATAAATAAATATTTCACATACATATAACTTTTTACATACATTGTAGTGGTGTTTTTGTTTACATAAATTTTATTTTGCAGACTGGTGGAGGTGCTCCTGATTACATACCCCCAGATGATATATTGGACCGTGTCGCTAGTGTCCTGGGGAGTACAGTTAGCGGGTTCACAGTACCCTTTGGAGGCGACAAGGAAGATATTGGTGATGGTATCTGTGTTGGTGATGGAGTTGGTGGTGGTGTTGGTGATGGTGTTAGTGGTGGTGTTGGTGATGGTATTGTTGGTGCTAGCGATAGTGAGGGTCGGGATATGTTGATCTTGCCTGATGAAATAGTTACAGTTGTATCCTTGTCTGAGGATATAGCTGTCTCTGGTGCCCCGGTCATGCTGCCAACTCCAGAGAGACCAAAGCCATTTACATTTAATTCTTTTCAGACTCCTAGAAGGGCTGGTAATGATTTTTTTATTTTAAATAATTCTATATAATCGTATCTTATAGTATTCAGTCCTTTGGCAACATGGCAGGCTTTCCATTGATAACAGGATCTGTTTGCATTTCATATGATTACAAATTGTGTACACAATAATACAATCCCCTATACTATATTTTATGTTTTGCACTGTGGTATTGTTTAACTTTAATGTTATGGAACAAATACAATTAATATAGTATTAATGCTGTCTTTTGATATTATTATAGGTGGTGGGTTTTATGAATATAAAGTTCTTTATGGAATGTACTAGAGAAAATAATCATTAATATTATTCATTAATTATTTTGTGTATTTTCAGGGAAAAGGCAAATACAAGGAGATAGCAATAGATCTGCAAGAAATACGGCAATTGCAGAATACTTCACAGTTAAAAAAAAGTTGATAGAGGAGAAATTAACCAATAGTACAATAGCAAATGAAAAATTAAAATTAGAATATGAAAAATTAAAATTAGAATATGAAAAATTAAAATTAGAATATGAAAAAGTAAAACCAGAATTAGAAAATAACAGATTAGAAACTGAATATTACAAATTAGAAAATGAAAAATTAAAATTAGAAATTGCTAATTTAAAGAAATAGGACTTAAACATTAGTTAGACTTAATCATTAGTTGTAATTAATTAATTTCACAATATCTTTTTAATTTTTATTGTAATTAATGTACTCTTTTTAAATAATTAGGAACTTTGTAAGATATAGGTTTAACTGGCTAATTTAATTGCTTGTAGTGATTTTAAGTATAGGTTTTTAATAAAAATAGTTTTTAAATTACACTTTCTTTTTATTTTCTATAACATTACATGTTTCCCAAACTATTGTTTTTTCTGTTATTTCTGTACATCATAAAGGTTGGTAGAAAAGGCATAATATTAAATATTTTTTACAATATAGCACAGCTATTTTAAATTTGTCCTTATATATAAATACTATTATGATATTAATCAAATCTCAACAGTAGAATAGAAAAAGAATAGAATAGAAAATCATTAGAAAATTTTATTCAGATAAACTTACATTGAAGCACTTTTGAATAGTCATTACATTTTTTAATCTACCGCTCGTTCGGAAAGCTGTCTCATCACAAGAAGAACGAGCAAGAAACTTGCGTGTTGCTCTTTTAAATAATTTTATTATTACTTTACATTTTTAAGTTTAAGTGTGTGAATACAAACCACCAATTAGCACTAATTCTATGGCCGGTACACTATTTTGATGTCGATTTTTGCAAATAATACACTACCAAATTGTACACAAACAATAATCGATACTTATTGCACTATTATATCACTAATAACGATGTTGAAAATATAATATTCGTGCGATAGACTATTAAAAATTATTTATTTATTACGGCCAGCTGAAAATGACAACTGTCGTTGGTGTTGCTAATCAAAGAAAAAAAAATTACACATATATATTAACAGTAACTTACTTAATAAAATTATTACAATATTGTAATTACTAGTCTTCATCTGTTCTCTTAAATTGTAAAATAATTATTTATAAGATCTGCTCGATGTTGCATGTCTAGCATAATCATGTTTTGTGCACCACTGTTTTCTATATTGTCAGCAGGTGGCAGCTCAACTTCTGGTGGGATTTCTTGTAGGTTCAGGTTTCTACACATGTTGTGCAAAACTGCTGTAGCTACTATTATAGCGTGCACATTTGATATTGACACTCTTAATGTCAGTGCTACCACTGGGAAGCGGCGTTTCCAAACTCCAAATGTGCTGTAATAAAATATTTTAATTAAAAGCCATATTTCTACCAATGTATATAAAATATGTTACTGGTTAGTTCATTACCGTTCAATAGTATTCCTAGTTTTAATATGTGATTCATTGTAACGAATCTCTGCTTCTGTAACTGGGTTTAATAGTGGAGTCAACAAATATGATCTGTTTGGATAAGCACTGTCACCAAGCAACCATCTGTTTCCAAAATCACCAGCATCACATTGAGCTATAAAGATTGATAATAATTATTATTAGGATCTCAAAAACAAAATCAATTTTATAAAAATAGTATAATTTAGAAAAACCTGTTACCTCTCAGTATAGAATTATTGAATATTGTTGCATCATGAGTGGAACCTGGCCAACGAGCTACAACATTCATCAACCTCAGTTCAGCATCACAAACAGCTTGAACATTTAAAGAAAAGTAACCTTTACGATTCCTGAACTCTTCACCTATTGTTTGACCTTAAAAGAAAATAAATAGTATTTATCTCAAAGGAATAAATTAATAACATATTAAACATGTTCTAATACAAAGATGGAGATTGTATGTGAAAGTATGTAAAGAAAAGAAATAGCATGTATCTCAAAGGAACAGTTAATAACATATTAAACATCTTTTAATACAAACATGGAGATTGTATGCGAATGTGTGTACAGTCAATTGCACCCAGGACACGAGGAAAGCCAGCAATCCTATAAAAATTTTCTGCACCTTCCTGATGTACAAAAATATACTTGTCATACAATCGGGCTATGGCTCTTGACATGTCTCTCATGATTCTACCAGCAGTCGATTTTGAGACTCCAACAAAGTCTGCCACAGAAATTAACATAGTGCCGAGAGCATAAAACCGGAGTGTCAAGAGAAGTTGATGTAGAGGAGACACGCCATAATTTCTGCAAAAAAATAGTTGATTGTGGATATGTTACATCTTACTAATGTTATTTTAAAAGCGGCACGAGGCAATAGTATTGATATATTTTACTTACTTTTTTGAGGTTACCCGAACAAAGGGCATTAATTCAGTCAATAACAATTGGAAGGCAGGTTTTGTAAGTCGAAACCTGAAGGTGAACTCTGCATCATCTAGCGTCTGCATGTAATTAACCCTTCTTATTATCCGTGAACTAACGCGTTGTCTGTCACTATCATCGTCACTAGAATTAGTATCCCAGTCGGATAACTGAATTAAATGTTCCAAATCACTGTCACTATCACTAGACGACATTTCAAAAGACATTTTGGTAAAAATCTATGAATTCAATCTGTACACACAAGTAGCAATCCCAAGTATTTCTAGGATAGCAAATTTAGATTGTTTACTTCGATCGATAGAAACGTCAAAACGCACAGATTGGTTATTAATACGCCACAAACGTCACTTTCATACAAATGTCAATCCAAGGATTGCGATCCGTCCTCCTAAAGATAGACTGCATTGAAAGATTGCAATGTCAATCCATAGATAGATTATTGGCACGCGTTTTACAAAAATAGATTGAAATTTCAATCTTAGATTGCTAAAAATGGATTAGGATTGAATATTAATTTCGGGCGTAAGAGATCTAAACGAACAGACAGCTAACGCGACTACATTTTATACTATGAATAAATCTTATCTTAATCTATACATGTAAATTAAATTGGTGTGTCTGTTTGTAATACTGAAATAACCGTTTTTGGCTACATGCATATGAGATATAAATACGGCATATACACCAAAATAACACTTTTTACCATTTTTGTCTGTCTGTCTGTTTGTTCCGGCTAATCTCTGAAATGGCTGGACCGATTTTGTCGCGACTTTTATTGGCGTTATAGGTTTTCTCACGAGACTACGGCATGGAGTTTTTCAAGAAGGGTATATTAAGGTTTCTTAAGGGTCGGCAACGCGCACGTGACACCCCAGGTATTTCAAGTGTCCATAGGCTACGGTAACCATTTACCATCAGATGGGCCGTATAGTTATTTGCCACCATCGTGGTATAAAAAATAGTTCTGATAACAGAAAAATTTTAATTTATACATCATACATATAAATAAAATTGGAGTGTCTGTTTGTAATATTGAAATAACCATTTACTACATGCATATAAATATAAACACGGTATATACACCAAAATAACATATTTTACAATTTTTGTCTGTCTGTTTGTTCCGGCTAATCTCTGAAATGGCTGGACCGATTCTGACGGGACTTTTTTTGGCAGGTAGCTAATGTAATAACGAGTAACTTAGGCTACTTTTAGAAAAACAAAGTTAATTTCCACGCGGACGAAGTCGCGAGTACAGCTAATCTTAATGTAATATAATAAACGCAAAAGTTTGTGACTATGGATGTTTGTTACTCTTTCACGCAAAAACTACGGAACGGATTTTGACGATACTTTACAGTAACATGTACAGTATAGCTTATACATCAGAATAACGTAGGCTATAAATTTCATGCGTAAATTCTTTTTTATATTTATATATTTAGGTATATATTATAATTTACATTTTAACTTATGTCTTATAATTTATTTATGTACCATTTATGTATGTCTATATATATTTATATATATTTATGTATGTCGATTTATACTTATAGTTAATATCATTAAAACAATATTTTAATATCTCCTCTTTTCGTACACGTATGTATGACTATTCTATTTAATACACAATCCTATAACATTTTCTAGGTTTGCTGGAAGAAATCTCTTTTTAGAGATAAGCTCGCCCTTGTACATTACATTTATTCTGTATAATTTTTTCTATTATGTGTGTGTGTGTACAATAAAGAATAAAGAATAAAGAATAAATTCACATTCATGTGAAACTGCGAGCACATCTAGTAAATAAATAAATAACTCTGGACAATTAACTCAACGCCATCTAGTCTCAAATTAAGCAGAGCTAGTATTACGGGTACACACGATACAAATACATACTTTTATTTATAAATACATACAAAACACCCAGACCGATACAAACAATCATACTCATGAATACAAATGTTTACACCGTGCGAGGAATCGAACCCGCGACCTTCAGAAAACCATCTGCTAAACCGCTACACCACCGAGGCCTATTATATCCATACCGTTCCAATATTGTAATAATAATTAAGTTAAAATTTACAAGAAACACGAAATTCCGTCATTATCCTAATGTACATCTAACATTACACCCTGTAGAAAGGAATTCCGATAATTTGATAGCATCCTGTATAATTAAATATTGACATGCCGCCAGCGGTGAGCGACGTGGGCGGATCTTAAAACGGGAGGCTGTATCCTGAGATTATCTCCGTGTAAACAATACCTATACTTTGTAGAGATTCGTCTGCGTGGGCATCTGTATGTCGCTTATTTTTCCCGCCAAGCAATTTCTAATAACAAGACAATTCACACAGCGCCATCTAGACCCAAGTTAAGCTAGCTAAAACATATGTTATGGGTACTAGATAACTGATACTTATACATAGACTAGCTTTTGCTCGCGGCTTCGCTCGCGTTAATTAAGGTTGGACCTTTATTTTGGTCAATGTCGAGTTTTTCACTCGATATTTTATCGATAAGTTACTCTTGTTTATTTCTCAACCAGTTGGTTCTATACTGTACTAGCTTTTGCCCGCGGCTTCGCTCGCGTTAAATTATCCCCTTAGGGATGGAATTTATCAAAATCCTTTCTTAGGGGGTGCCTACGTCATAGTAGATTTATGTATGCAAATTCTCAGCCCGATCAGTTTAAAATTGACAAAGTTTCATACAAACTTTCATTCCCTATTTTATCTCCTTGGGGGTAGAATTAATCAAAATCATTTCTTAGCGGATGCCTACGTCATAACA